TGGCGTGCCGCCGGCGGAGGCTCCATGTGCTGCCGAAGCGCTGGCAGGGCGGTGAGGAGCGGTGCGTGCCCCAGCCGGCCACACTACGTTTCGGCAGCTGCCCAACAGGACAGCTCGGCTCTGGAAGGAGGGCCCCGGCGCTTAGGGAACGGTGTCGGGGAAGGCTGTTGTATAGATCAGAAAAGAAAGTGACTGTCATCCTGAAAATCAGCTTCAGGGAAAATTTAAATCTTAATGCCAGTGCAAAATCTGCATATAGCCTCTTAAACACATTTATGACTGGAACAAGAGAGGGCAAAACTGCGCACAGGATTAATCTTAAGCATACAGACGAAGCCTTCTCATCCAGTGACTTCTCCTGCAGACTACGTGCCACTGCAAGCGCCACGTAATCCCGGGAACAAGAAATTCCCATTTGTTTGTCAACGGTACCTAGCGCCTCAGCACCCAGACCTTGCCTACCTTGGGCCACCATGCCGCTGTGTTTCAGCCTCGGAGGCTGACGCCAGGGATGGGAGAAGGGAGGAACATGCCTTGGGAAGCGCACGCTCAGCGAACGATCCTCAGCACGCGCGGTGCCCGAGCCCTGTCCTTGGCTGGGCATGTCCCATGGGGCACCGAGAGGAGAAGCGAGCTTCACCCTGGTGGGAACGCACGTTCTTGCACGCTCTGAAGCACGGGCTCTCTGCCCAGCCTGTTGGCCCGGACTTCCTGGACCTCCTTTGGATGGGTTAATAAGGGGAAAACAATGCTCAACACTGCTGCGAACCCTTAGCTACCGAGCCCTCTGAGGACTTTGTCCTACTGTCTGCAAAATGGGAATGAAAAGCCACATTCTGCAAAGAGGGAGAGGCAGCGTGGACCAGGCTGGGGCCGAGCCTCCGAGATCGCCCTCCATCCCCCTGCCCAGAGCAGACGGCGCAGAGGCTGCTGTGGCCGCCCCGACCACCTGCTCCCACCGCCTCGGCATGCTGCTCCAGCGCTAACCCAGAGCCCAGCACTGCAGAGCACGGCACGGGATTTGGTTGCGCATTAGGCTGCTTTATTTGCACAAGTCAGTTGCCTTCTCCAGCACTTCCCTGATGATTGAATTAACCAAGCTGGAGCATCGCAGAGCTTGAAATGCTTCACATGGAGCCACGTTCCCTGGTGAACGCTAAGAAAAGAGCTGCATGCTAATCTCGCACGTGAAGCAGCGAGAGCATACAAACAAAACAAGAAGACCTGACAGTAAGGAAAGTGATAAAGTAATAAATACTCTAGGAAATCCCACAGTTTCTCAGCAAAAAGCAGCTGATCACCCACTCTGCCCTGAGCTGGTCCAGCGGGTCAGTCAGGCAGACTTCTGCGATCGCCGGCACAAGCCAGGCTTTGCAGAGTGGCTGGTCCGGCACCTGCCCCAGCCCGCCCC